TAACCCGTACTCATTACAAACGGAATAAATCCATATTACATCATCATTCATAAAATAGATATTTCAATGACGTATAATAATAATAATGACGATTGTACGGTAACTTAAATTTATAGCATAATTAATGTCGTTGGACAGTAGAAATACGAATTTCAAAGAATTATGTTTCATTATGAAAATATTTTTTCTTCTTATACTATATTGAACATAATTTTTTTGTGTTTCTTACATCTATTAAACCTAATACAGCTACTGTATTAATTAGGTATTATTATATATATTGTATTACTGTATTAAATACTGTATTCAGTGGCGCACACAGGATTTTTTTTCGGGGGGAGGGGGGGTCAAGGTAAAAATATAACACATTTTACAATTAACAAAATCCTTAATATATTTTGACTTAAATAATAGCATCGATATTAGAATAGACTATTCTATAATCAATGATACTAGGTATTCAATACTAGCTCTTCATATTTCAAACTTGTAAAATTTGTAAATTTTAACTTAGACATCGGAGAAAATTGCGGGGGAGGAGTTACAACCCCATACCCCTCTCCCCTCTGCGTGCGCCACTGACTGTATTAATAACAGCTATTGGTTGTTACTATTATTATGTCATTCGATTGATATTTGATACTTGTATGATTCGGGCGAAAATCCGAAATCCGTCGAAAACATATGTTTATATTATAAACCCCGTACATATCTCACACCGTTTAATGTTAACATTACTTATATTCATACGTATCAACAGTAAAATCATCACATTGATTTCAAAATCATTTTGTTTATGACTACACGAATCCAATGCGTAATTGGAAATTTAGTCGGTGCAGATAGGCACCGCGCTTATAATAATAAGGAGGACATTTTTTTTTAAATCGTAATCATTTTTTGACATGATGTACCGTGATATCACCACATTATTTATGCTTGTAGTAAACGTGCATGGTCGATCGTTATTATTAAACACCATCAAATATGTTAGAAAATGGTAAAGCCACGGTTTTCCATGGTCAGTTCACCGCGGGCTAAGTCATTACTACGTCCACCGCCTCACCGGCATGACGTTTTGCAGTGCGGGTGACGAAAGAAAAAATAATTCATCAAAAAAAAATCGTTTGGCTTGTAGTACATATACGAGTATGTTGCAACGACACGTACATTCGAATCGTCGAAGAAGTGTGTTGGTATAGTCGACCATCGGTTAATAATCATAGTTTTGTACAATACACACTCTATTATCGTTCGTACAGAAATTGCGCATTATATTATTATGTCAGACAATATAATGTAATATAATGGGTATAATATGCGTCGAATCACAGTGGCCACTTGACTGCAGAGTAGAAGGAAAATCGGGATTTTCATAACACCATTATTAAATATGGGTACTTGGCTCGATAGTTCAAGCGAATGTACAATCACTATTAACGTAACTCGTTTTGTATAATCTAACAGGTAAACTACTAAGTATAGGTCCGTGTAGAATAAAGAACTTAACTGTGCATAAAGGTCTCTTAAAGTAATATATATATATATAATCAGTGGCGTATCCATGGGGGGGTTTGGGGGTCAGAACCCCCCCCCATGAAACCTGAGATAGTAAATTAACTTTTACATGAAACATGGTTTTTTCTTTAACATTTTTATATTTTATAATTTTGACTTGGAAATCATATTAATAGTTTGTATAAACACTATAAACATATTATACACACGCTGCACACACACACAAGTCATAATATTATGATCATATTTAGATACTTTACTACTACTTTGATCATTTTTGCTTGGGAATATTATTTAGGTTTTCTACAACGGTTGATTCTAAATCAGTCGTCTGGTTCCAATAGTTGAGATAAAAGCGATATCATTATCTGTATTAAAAGTTTATTTTGGGTATGCCTATTGCATTCGCGGCTCGCCGATCATTTAACACAAGCACCTTATTGTGTAAAACTAATAGTTATTATATAGTTATAGTTAATAGTTGGTTGTTGCCTGTTGGTGTTTCACTATTTTACTTACTACTCGTTTATTCGTTTATATTTGATATTTGTATTCCATTACATTTGTTTTATTTTAATTTGACATCATTCTAAGACGTCTAAACATTCCATTGTGGTAAAATATTTTTAAAATTTAATTTTTAGTGTACCTAAGTGATTGGACAGAAAATATTCTAATATCTAATACTTATGTTCCTATATTAGTTCCTAGGTCCTAAATTGTTATTATTATTATTATTATTATTATTTATTATTATAGGCAAATTGTAAGAGAATAAGCAGACTAGAAAAATTAATTATTTTTTTTTACCTGAATCAAAAAAACTAATGTCAACCAGACTTAAAAATACCGATATCAATACAAATAGTAGTCAAAATAATAATGATAAGATTAAATATATATAAAAAATTGCTGAACCCTCCCCCCCATAAAAAGTTCCTGGCTACGTCACTGTATATAATATCGATAACTATACGTACGTTAACGACAAACTCGTAAATCAGAATGTTGGAATAAGTTCGACGAGAAAAAAATCGTAATCGCCTCGTTTAAACGGCACACTTAATAATCTGTAGTAAATGCACTATGCATGTGAAGCGTAACGCAAAGTACTTATGATGTCAGATGCGTATTGTACGTTTAAATATTTCATCAAACCGTTTGCATGCGTATAAATGATATACGATTAAGTATTATACGTAATACGCCATAACTCCATTAACTATGAATATAATGTACAAAAAATGGTTATTTTTATTCCGTTCGGTAAATTCTGTTTGCATATCTGCGGTGTATCGCACTGTACAATGCGATCAATGTCTTCGGTTGTTTACAATCAAATATACTCGTACGTAATAATGTATTTTTTTATATGATATATATATACGTATACTTACGGTTGTATTCTGTTGCGTGATATTAATTTACGTCTCGATGGCCATTATATTTTTAATGTATTTCCAACAATAATTTTATTACGTACGCTTGACATAGTTTTCAGTAGTTTACTATTTTTATTAATCCGTTATAATGTAGTTGTGCACACGAATAATGGTGTTTTGCTGTGTTATGGGTCGTCCTGACGATGCGCTTTACGCCATGATCTTATGTGCAACCGATACAAATGATTTCTACGATACACAGTCACTGCGGTTTTTGTAAACATATTTATTTATATACCGACACTGATGAGCGATTGTACTGTTAATCACATGATCGGATCCAAATTTAATAACCTTCATTCGATTAATCAAAAGACGTACGTCATTATGACTTCTTGTATATAAATCATTAGTAAACTGTCTGTTCAATTAAATGACTGTGTAAAAGTGTTTGTCGATGGATCGTCCGCCGAGATATTAAGATTTGATTGAAATAATTAAATCTCATTATAAATATAGTATGATATGACATATGATGAATTCTGATAAACGTCACGTAAACTACGGTTTCGATTTACGCGTATTTTCTGCACTGTATTCGTAAACCATTTGTAAACCTATAAACCAGGTCTTCGGACGAATCCTCATTTTTATATTTTCAGTTACAATACTTCCGTACTCTCGAAGTCTTACGAAGATGATTTAGTTGATCATGACTTGCCGATTTAGATAACAGATTTTAGATATGTCACTACTATTATTTTGGAACATGTACCACCGACGTTCCAAGTACTTTCAAAGGATATACGAGATAAAATATTTTAATCGTACGTGAATAACAGTATCTTGCAATCATTATTAATTACTGTACCGATCATTAATTTACATTCATCCATCTTACGAGCAAAGAATAATATTATATACAGCCAACAAATAGTGTTTGAAATGAATGCCGTCAAGTTTCGACGTATTTTCGTTTCTGCTGGATAACCAAATAATTATTATTTACAAAAGCGCAACGCAAAGTATTGATATATGATTTTAACAAAAGTTGAAATATTCCACAATGAAACCTAATGATATATAGTAAGTGGGTATTATAATATTAATCAATAATATGAGATCATTAAAATTTCTGTTATTCGATTTACCCTGCACTGTCTTAATTGTAACAAAATTATATGGAGTATTATTTTACCATTTACAAGTACACGATCATAAGTGTTGGAAAGTGTATTAAAGATGTTTCCTAATTAAATAACAACCCATATTTACAATCGTAAATATTGCAAGTGAGGAAAAAGAAAGTGGTTTATTTTTTCAATGCAAGATGTTTGTTTATTCCAGTCCAGAAAAAATTAGCCACTCAACAAAATATAACAAGTCTAGTAATCGTAACCAATCGAAGTTTCACTGTGGTGCAGCGTAAATACATTTTTTTATTCTTAAATTAATTTTATTTCCTATGCAAATGGTAATTTAATATTGAATAGTATAATTAAAATTTGTATTATGTAACACATATACCTATGGATGATAAATAATTAAGAAACTTCAATTCTTGAAACGAATCGGGTAACCTTGAAAATAAATCGAAATAATCATAAGCCGGCGAACATACACCGCTGGTCATTCATATATATGGGTCTCGATATACAAGGTCTCGATTTCTTGACCAGTTAAACCACTTTCACGATAGCTGAAATAGGAGAAGGAAAAAAACAAAATGTGAAAAGAAAGTATTTGGGCCATCCGAATCCTGTATATTATATTTGTGCGTTGGTGAACAACGGAAATTCCGCAAATACTAAAAAAAAAAATTATTTGACGAAAACGTAAAAGAAAAATCACAATTATTTTAATTCTAATCATGTTGTTGACGTTGTATACCACGTTGTTTTTAGGAATCATTTTATTTTAATGTAGTTCCTGTAAATAGTTTTAGTAGCATCATTAGTCAGCATGTAGTGTTTTCCAATCAAAATTCTATTTTCTCTTTAATATTTGGCGCGCATCGAACTACTAATTGGTCGAAAGAAAAAAAAATCTCAAATAATTCTATGTATTATATTATAAACATAATTTTTCTATTTGTTTCAGTTGCCGACGCTAGTGGACGTTACTCGTCACAGCTGTTTTTCGGTAATGATTTCTGGCTGGGATCTCACACCCTCTGCATGGAATTACAAAACAAAAATACCAACAAATACGTACCACCGTTTGAAGCCACGTTTTACGTAGCGAAATTAGCTATAAAACTTCATGATCAGCTGACCCCTAAAGTAAGTACACGATATGAAGTATTAGCGGACGAACATAAGATAATATTAGAAACATAAAAGTACCTGACATTTGAAAAAAACCACAGATTAACGGTTTGTTTTTTCAGAGTATTAATTTCCGTATTATGCTTATGTACGACATATTATTAATTATAATACACACGATGGGTTGGAAGGGTATGCAGTCACGGGAGTGTATAAACAAAATATAATGTCGTAGTAAAATCAAGAGTCATGATTGTGCGATGACGAGATAAACACAATATTACTGCAATATATAATTACTATAAAATATTCCAAAAAGTCAAAGGTTATAACATAGCAGACTGAGAACAGTATAATATTTCAATTCAAATAATTAGCATTACTCAAAGAAAACCAAGAGTTTATTTATTAGTATTTTCACTATTATTTATATTTATTATAAAATTATTTGTGTGTCTTGTAGCTTTTACGAGCTCTAATCGTAACACTGCAAACATATATGTGTACAAGATAATAACAAAAATTTTTTGTATTCTTTGGTGGTTTAAATCCCATATATTTAAACATTTCAATATACTTTTATTTTTTTTCTTATTGAATTAATAAGGCTTCAACATATAAGGTTAGGTGAGTCAAACATGTTAACATATTAATCTTAAAAATTATTTGGGTTGAAAATTTGGGTGTATAATATAACTTGTCTTAAATGAGATTTGATAAACTATATCTGTAAAAAACTTAAAAATGTTAATATAATCTTTATTGTCATTTAAATCTTGTTAGTCATTTTTTTTAAATAGCTTCTCATTTATAAAAAAACTTTTAAAACTTTATTTTAATTTTAACGTATAACTTATATTAGTTTTTAACAAACACTTTGATTTTTTTAATGATTTAATACACTTATTTTATTGTTATGGTATTAAAAAAGGTTCTATGTTTCAGACCAGATTAATTTCACTTGGTCTATGTATGCCGAAAGATTGCAGTGCTACGGATGTTAAAAATATGGTCAGTATTCCAAAGGAAGACAGCGGATTTAACTATCGTAGTTATAGCGTGATAAACGTCAGGCCTGTACCCGGTTCATATTCTCTGTGGTCGGACAGTAAATTTCATATACTATTGTAAGTATACATAATATATGATTGATTTAAAAAAAGCATATTTTAATTTTATATGAATTACAACGTATAGGAAATCAATTTTAATAATACTACTTCTGTTAAACAATTTTTTTTATATAAGATATTTTTTCACAATTATTTCGTATAATTATACTTATTTTTACGGGTTTTAGAATCGTTGTTGGATTGATAACTTTACTGACAATTTTGGGATCAGGGTATGAAATGGTCCTTCAACGCCGTAAAGCCAAGGAATTTAAAAATAGCCAGATTAGTCAACAAAATAATAACGAAGGCGATTCAAAAGTGGATTTCACATTGGAAAAGATGCATATGAAGGCTTCTAGAAATAATGACGAGACTGCGGTAGATGATCTACTATTTAAAGGTAATACATGATCATTTATTGAATACCTATGATACACTTAAAGATGTTGTAATCTTGTTCAGTTTAATGTTAAACTTTTTTTTTTTAGAATTAAATAAATAACATAAATTTATACTAACTATATTAATCATAGACCCCAATAGTCTATGGGGAGACGATTTTATTAAAATAATAAAAAAAAAATACAATGTAGTAAAGCTTACGCCACAACCAAGCAAATATCGAATACAATAAATTGTTTGGCATGTAGGGTTATAAAAATATTTATTCAATTTTTATACTTCGTTGTTATGATATTTACATATATTAATAGTTTTTTTAACGTTGTTATTTATTCGTATACTTATTTGGAATATTAATTTATCAACGTGAGAACATAATCGTTTTATTTGCTTGCTCCTTTTAATTAACAATTATTATTCAACACCATAATATCATGGTTAAAATATAGAATATATTAAAGTTCGTCTACTGCATAATAAAGTCATTATACTCGAGTACGAGTATATTCTGTCTGAATATGGTCTTATTGAAAATCAAATGATATTAAACATTAATACTATTTATGTTCAGGTGTTCCGTATTATATCATAATAAAAAATATTATTAAATTACGTTATTTTATTCTATATTTTCTTATTTACTTACTGTAATATTCACGAATGAGTGATATTATTTTTAGGCGCATGAAAGTTAAATAAATGTCATGTTAATATTTGTTACTATTTAATTTTATATCATCTTATCTAATTCATATATCTTCTGTATTGCGTTAGATAAATATTTCGTAAACAAAGTTTGCTAATAAAATTTACTATACTTCAGTAAACTTATCACGTACCTTTAAGTAAAATTATGTTTGAATATAATCTCATTAAGTATTGATTTTTAAATATATAATAAAACAAAGAATAAATTATTATCGTTACTTAAACAATAATTAACAAAATAATAATAATTTTATTTAATAGTTAGTCGCAATGAACAGATTTTATTAGCTTTCTCGGCTATCACCAATGGCAGGAAAATCCTACATTGCGGGCCTGCGCCAGCTGATTCGTTAACTTGTGTGCACGGACTTCGATTTTTAAGTTTAGCATGGGTCATAATGGTTCACACATACTTGCAAGTGTTTTCGATCGCAGGTGAGTTTGTTGTTCCTAATGGCTGTTTTAGATTATGACTGCGAAAACTAATATTATTGTTTTCTTCTTTGATATGATACAGAAAACAAAACGTTGAGGACGTTGACTGAGAGGAACTTTATGTTCCAAACGGTGAGCAACGCAACATTTTCTGTTGACACATTCTTTTTTATCAGGTAAAATAAATGGTAATAAAATACTGCACCGTTAACAATAAATATGTCTAATCACAAATCATATCATGCAAATTTCCAGTGGTCTATTGGTTACGTATTTGTATTACAAGACTACCAGCAAAAAAGACGGACCAGAAATAGCTGTTTCTCGAACTCCAAGATGTAGTTCAACCGTACTGAAAAATGATACAATTAAATTTTTGAAGTTACTGGGATATAGATTTATCAGGTAATTGCAAAAAGTTATATATTAAAAATTATAATTAAAACAAACCAAACTGTTAATATTTAATTTAATGTAAAATCAGACATATACTAGTTATTTTAAAAATAGTATCTTAAATCAACATCTAATTTTATCTAAATTTAATTTTTTTCGAATCAAATATAAAAAGGGGAAAACTTCTTGGTCGAGTGAAATACAGGAGGAGGCTAATATTATTAATTTACTAGTTTTTTAAACTTGAAATAAATGTATCATTGCTCTCGAAAAAACGATTTTGAATGAAATAAGTTGGATTCATCAGTTTATATTTCTAAAGATAATTGAGATAGTAGAAGAATTGCATTTTTTTAATAAGGTAGGTTAAACTATTAAAAAAATCTGTTATTAAAGTTTGGGAAAATCAAAAATTTCAAGTGCATATAAATTTAGCCAAATTGCATTAAAATATATCGAAATTTTATATCTACTTTTTTTTATAACTTTTTGCCTGTTTTTTGCAACTGATAAGAAAACTGAATTTTATTCAAAATTTATTTAATGACTGTGAGGTTCGAAGCAATCCTTTTAGTTCAAAATGATTTGGGTACGATGTATATACGAATACAGAGACAAAAATCCAATTATATAGTGATAAAACTATTACATATCTCGTTTCACTCAGAATCTTTTAAACGTTATTTAAGCACGAGAAATTAGTTAAAATTGTGTCTTTTTATTAAAATATAAATCAAAAATCAACAATATAATTTTGGTAGATTAGCGTTAACGAAATGGAATACTTTTAAATATATATATTATACTAGCTGAATGGATTAATTTATTATAGATATATTTATTTTATTTATAATTTAGTTTATCCGGTTCTGTCCGAGAAAAATATTGATATATCACCTACTCCTAACCATACTCGTCTATATGTACCATTCTCGTTTCCGTTTCTATTCTCGTTTATAATATCATGTCGATATTTTGTGAAATGGTGCACGTTTTATGTATATTCATTGATAGCTTTAATCATTCCTTAGTCAACGCTAACATTTTCTATAACTTTTTGTAACTAATAGCAACCTGATACAAACAAACAAATATTCGAATATTCCGTTGGCCAAAAATAAGTTCTTATGTGAGCCTATCTTTAAAAATAAATAATAAAAAAATAATATATAGTCTTTGTAAATTTATCTTTTTATATTTTAAAATTTAAATTTAACTATTCCATTTAACTTTGCCATTCAAGTTTGGTCTTTATGAATTATTTCTTAAAATACTTTTAATGAAATGAAAAACAAAAATAAGAAAAGTCCACAAATTTAATTTATCAATAGTACTCAAAAAGATTTTATTGACAGAATAAAGTCGATTTAATTTATGAAAAATGTAATACTATAGTATTTTTGGTATACCATGTTTTTCGTTTTTTGGTTAAGAGCATTTATTTATAAATTATTTTTCAAGTTAACTGCAGAGCATGCAACATGAAATTTAATATGGTTGAAGCATGGATCTGTTTTATCGGCAGGGCTTAAAACCGGTATTTGATATTGTTTTTGAATACCGTTTAAAACCGTTAAAAAACAAAATCGATATCAAGAACGAAAAAAATCAATAACGGTATTCAAAATCGAAATCGAAATCTCAAAAACTAAATACCGATATTCGAAACCGAAAACGAAATTGAAAAAAAAACAAATACCGTTATCCGAAAGCAAAAACGAAATAGGAAAAATAAATACCGATATTTGAAACCAAAAATGAAAACGGAAAAAAGAAATACCGATTATCAAAACCAAAAACAATTTAAAATTAATATATCACATTTAAACTTAAATAGCTAAGCTGTTATAAATACGGTCAACCGAGAAGTGTTGGGTCGGCCGACGGAAATAAGGTATAAATATAGGAGTCGTGAGATGCAGGTAATTAGATTGCAAATTCAGTCTAGACTATAATATACACTCTGTAAACAGTATTATATTATATACTCATTATAAGTAATAACTAATAACTATTAAAAACTAATATCTTATAACACATAATAGTATATAAATGTAAAATGTTATAACTAGGGCTCGGAAGTTGATGCATTTTGCATTCTTTTTTCTAACTTTTTAGAAGATGCTACCTGGCCATAAATGTGTTTCATTAGCATGTGAATCCAAATAACTAATTTTTATTTTGCATTTTCTTGCATTTTTTGGTTTTTGTTACTTTATAAGTCATTTTTTGACATTTTTAAGTAATTTTTCCACATCTTTAGTCATTTTTTCTGATTTCACACTAGTTCATTTCTTATTGTTTCTTACCGACCATTATGCCGATAACTTAAGATTTGTCTGATTTTATCTCGTTGATTACATTCGTCATTGTCGTGTTGTAGTGATAGCATTATACCAACATTTTATTATTTTTTTCTGATATTTGATTAGTATTCAATATTATCTCGTCGATTACAGTCGTCGCTTCATTGTCTTGTTATAGTGAATAATACTTATATCTAAATTTTATTATTTTTTCGTAATATTTTCGAAATAGCGAAAATTAAAACGTCGGTTAGTGCTTGTCTGCGTCTCCCAATCACTTAAATGGACGTGGAGAGAAATTTTTCCAAATATAAATATTTATAAACAGATAATCGTCATTAATTTACTTTTGATAACATCAAATACGCTCTAATCTTACAATGCAATAATTATGATTTTTAAGTAATTTGTAAGCTATGATAAATTTATAAAACAAATGTTTGTCATTTTTTTTATTTCATATTTTAAGGATATTTTTTGTCATTTTTATGTCATATTTTGATAAATTTGTAAGTTTTGATAAATTTATATAGAATTTTATAGTAAAATAGAATAAAATATTTAAAAAAAATGTTTTTTCATTAATTTAAAACAAATATTTGTCATTATTTAGGTCATTTTTTGTCATTTTTATGTCATATTTGCATCTTTTTTTAGGTCATTTTTTAATGTTTTTAAGGTCATCAACTTCCGAGCCCCAGTTATAACGAATACCTAATTAAACTTTATATATAACTATAATTGTTTAGGTATAACATTGATGTAAGTATTTTGGTAATTTATTTTATAAATAAACAGAATGTTAAAATAGTTTAGGCCGTATATTATGGTGACAGGTGTATAATTTATAAATGTCTAATAATATTATTTCGGAATTAAAAATAAAATGAATTAATTTGTAATTTTTCACGAATATTGTATGTTTTGTCATAAATTCTACATCAATACAACTTTTAATAAAATTTAATCGAAAATAAACTCTAAATTGAAAAAAATAAGTACTAAAATCTAAAACCATAACCAAAATTAAAAAAAAAAAGTATACCGATATTCAAAACCGAAATCGAAATCGGAAAAAATAAATACCGATATCCGAAACCGAAATCGAAATTAGAAAATATTTTTTCGTTTTCAAGCTCTGGTTATCGATGTCTATAATTTTCAACGTTTATTATTGCGCCTTGTCATCAAGAAACACAGCTTGATTGGAAATTGAAGGCACTTGAATTCCAATGGATAGTTATTATCCATTTATAACTATATAATAGTTACTTATTATCATTGGAATTCTTGGAATATAGACAGTGTTATCTTTGGCACAGCCAGTTAGAATTTTCACCTCAATGACGTATTTTTTCAACGACTTTACTTTTACTTAATTTTGCTTCATTTCAGCTCTTCACGAGCGCCTCGTAATAGTGAATCAACTGCGTGATATAGATAGCTGACCTTGAATTATGAATATAGGCATAAAATGTATGTGTCTTATCTCCTTGCCATCAAAATAGGTTATATGAAGACAGAACTGTGCTTCCATATATTATCGAGAAAAAATAGAATGCTTATGAGTGCTGCTATTTAGACATTTCAATGGTTTGGGGAGGAGGGTCGGCTATTCCATTCAAGAGAACTTTTCCTCCAGCACGAAAAAGACAGTGTACTTTAAGAGATCATTTTTTTGTTTAGCAATACTGTCAAATCGTACTTATATTGTCAATACAAACATGAGAATCATTTACATAGTTATTACATAATTATTTCATTTTCTCTATAACATCGCAATCCTTTGGCCATTGGCTTTGAACGGTCAATATCGGATTTACTTTTTGACGTTTCATCATTTTGTTTTTAATAAATAAAAATAATTATGAAGATCTACGTGTCATAGGTTACCTGTGGTAGCCAGTGGTTCTCAAAATAATGTGATCTCTGATGCGAGTAATGATGGATTAATATTTGTAATGTTATTATCAATGGTATTGAAAAAATAAAAAGCTTAAAACCATCTATAGAGTAATAAAAAAAGAAGGACGATGTAATCGGTAACGTAGTTTCTGAGATTAGTTATTTCAAAGAAAATATTTTTACGTTTATATAGTTAGAGATCGATAATAAATACTATCATAAAAATGTTAGACATTTTTAAACGAAGAAAAACATAGGTAATCGAATCGAAAATTGCACGTCATTATTATACCATGTCTAATATAGGTTGACCACAAACGTTACTTAAAACTAACTAATTTGCGTTTAGTGTTATAGTTTGAACATGAATTCGGACACTATACTAAAAAACTTCAAAGAAATGTAATGTACACAAACTTTTGAGTCTTATTGCGATCATTTATTTACAAACGTAATAATAGCTTTCAAGTTTAAAATAGTAATAATAAAATACAACATACACTTGATTGGCAAACAGAAGCAAACCATCAAATTCTATAGTATCCAATGTATCCAATTTTGATTGTTGCGTTCACAAATTTCGTAAATCCAGTTATCTTTGAAATATGAGCACTATGAACGTATGTGTATATTATTATACACGTTCGATGCACATTAAAGTTAATGATTACCATAGTTTCGATTTTTCGCAACCCGTTTAGATTGTAGGTTGACCATGTGTTTTAATGACATGTACCAACCGTTCATTAGATAATATTAATTCACACGAGCCTATAGAATACCTCAGTGGTTTTCAACCTTTTTCGAATCGTGATTCCAATTAGTATTTTAATTTTAATACGACCTCTAAAAATAATAAATAACAGAATATGAATAATTTTTTAAATAAGTATATTTAAATAAATATAAAAAAATAAAAAAATAATATGAAAATGTATATTTGCAATTTTCTTGTTTTAATGGTAAACTTGTGCTTGGATTTTTGAAACTACGGTTTCCATGTTAGATTTAATACTAGAAACTGTTACTCTTAAATCTGGTTTTTTAACCATATTATATTTATGAATACAATTGTTGAAATATACGTATAAGGTACGAGTGTAAAAATAATCAGATATTAAACGCCATTCCAAATAAGATCGGTGACCACAATCGCTTATAGTTAATAATCCGTCGTCGGATAAGATTACACTACAGGTTATTTTATTCGGTATGCTACATTCGATTGTACATTCGTAATAATTATATTGATTTTTTAAATCAATGCATTTTGATACGAATAACCATTTTTTCATTATTTTTATGGAACCCTCGCATTATGTTTGTCCACCCTCAAGGGAATCGCGATTCCCAGGTTTAATACCACTGGAATACCTACCGCATTTGTGTACCGATTAAACGTGCATTCGTAGTGTCTCATGTGTTGTAACAGTTACAAACCCTATTCGCTTTTTATTTTAGCGACACACAGAATACGAATTACACACACACACCACACACACACACACACACACACACACACACACACACACACACACAC